TTGCTTTCTGGCTTGAGGAGTTCTGCTTCTGAGTGCTCACGCAATTGGTAGGGCGAATTCATATTTTCGAAAGTGCATGTCAATCCCAATCTGCGATTGGAAATTGGAAATAATTTGTTGATAGAAAGCCATCTGCAGGAATGTAAACCTTGGAAGCACTGTTTGATATATTGCCTCTACGATGAGAAAGGAGAAGCTGTAATGGAAGGTGAAGTGATTTGAACTTATGATATCTTCCAAAGGATTGTTTATCAAAATCTTTTTGAGAAGTCGTACCTGTGAATCCACCGTATCTGTAGTTCTACTCGCAGTTGTTCAAAATGGATGTTTAGTTAGCAGTTCATACACATCGACGCGTCGCAGCAGCTGTATTTGTTCCATAAGATGTCACTAGTTGTTCTAAGAGTAAAGCGAAGACTAGAAGAAGAATCCCTTCCTGAACTGCGAGTTGCATACAAGAAGAAGCGAGTTGAAACAGAACCTTTCTTGGTAGACGCTTCTAATGGCTGCTCGGAAACGGTGTTCAGTTTGGCTGGGTCGGTGGTCTCTGGTAGTTCGCAGCCGCTGCGAGATCAGATAAAGTCGGTTCTACCGCCCGAACGGATTTCTGGCCCGGCTTCCGTTTCTACGGTGGTGGTTGCTAACCTTGTGCCCAGAAGAGGGGATGATGGTAATGACTGCTATTTATTTTCGAAGAACGAAGTGACGATGACGCCAATTGAACAAGAAGCTGCTGTGAATTGTGGTTCTTTACCTGGGTTTTCGGAAGATATTTTCATGAACGGAAGGATGCATAATGAAGATCATTGTGCACCTTTTGAGGAACACCAAGATGCACCCATTCTATGCAACGACCAGCTTTTGCTAAGGTGCGCTTTTAAATGGTGTTTAATGGTGGCAGCAGCAAGCACAGATTATTACCAGTATTAATGCAGTAACTTATATAAACAGCCTATTGTGTCAGTCATGAACATAATTTCTAAAGTTATTTATCCATAACTATAAATTTTTATTATTGACCATTTGCTTATGGATAGATTTTCTCCTCATTTGCGACAGACTAATAAGAAAAAACAGGTATGACGTATTCATAGTTTCCTGCTAATGACAGTTTCTAGAAATTAGTTTTTAGTGGAGGGTAATTTAGTTCGTTCAAATGTTGCATCACTTAAGTTTTTATTTATTAACTTGAACTTGTACGTTAAGAAAATTTCATTAACAATTCAGAGTTCCATTTCCGTTTACTTGTGGGTGTTGCAAATCTCGACACTACTTCTGGACAGCCCCATTATTACCGAGCAGTTTCGGGAATATTGTTTCCATTTATCAGTGGGTGGCCGACTAGCATTCTGCTCCAGGAAATAGAATGGCAAAGATATAACTGATTAAATCGATACATTAAAAAGAGTGAAAAGAGTCATTTTATCAAAGTTGCATGTGACATGCCTTACTCCAGTATGCTGTGTAAAACCAATTGTAGTTGATTTGTTGGGAACAACTCTGGACCGTTTCCGAAAGCAGATCTCTGGTTTGTGATGTCCATTATAATAGCAGTTTCTATGAGGCACCGATAACTGTGTCATAGAAGCAACAATTCCTCTTAGAAAGCAGATTTGTTTCTGGCTTGTTCTACCTTGTTGCATTCGAGCTTCCTGATCGGTGTCTGCCATATTTTTTGTCCCACATGAGAAGGTTGGGGGTTTAATTTCATAATTTCCCATTCTTCGGAGGTAACTTGAGTCCGGAAGGAAATACACTAATTCCAATCTCATCTTGTTATTTAATTGTCATATGCATCGAAGCCTAGGTTGATAAACGCAAGAGTATACAGACCTAGTTGTCTGCCCTTCAGCAGTCCGGCACAGCATGAAGAATCAGAACTCGCAAAAACATGAAGCAACATCCTAAAAAACTGTTTATTTGGTCAAACATAAATAAGCTATTTTTCTTTGTCAGAGCATCACTCACGCATCCTAAAGCAGTGGTAAAACTGACATTCTGAAAGTTGCCACGTTGTACGTCTGGCATAAACGGATTTTTTATGTTCTTTGACAAGACAGGCATTCCGTTATCTCGAAGGATGATAAATCTCTATTGACGTTTCGTTTCACATCTCACATACACACAGCATCTTGAAATTGGAGGTAACTGTTGATGCTAATGATAGCTGACCAAGCAAAACTGTCTCTTGAGCCAAAATAAGATTACCTGTGTAAAGAAGAATGAAGAAACAGAACTCAAGGAAACAGCATAACATCCTAGACTCGAATATATGTATAATATATGTAGTAATGCACGTATGATTAAGATAGACCTGTTATTTCTAAGCATTTTCATATACCGTTTTCATTTAGAGTTAGAAATCTGCTACGTAAACTTCCGATCGGTGACGACGAAAAAATGGATAATAGCGAGCTCAATTACGCCTACGATTTCTACGTTTCTAAGCACTCCGAAAACATAAGAGAGCCATTGGAAGACGGGGTGGATGAGCTGAGCGAATCGGCGGATTTTCTGGGCGAAATGATTTCGATCAATGACAGGAATCTGCTGCTTTTCGACATCGAAAACGACGATTCAGAGTGCGATTTTTCCGGTAGTGACGAAAGCAACAGAACTATAGACTATCCGGATGAAGAGAGTATTGAAGGGGAAGATTCATCGAGCTGTTTTTCTGACTATAATTAAATTGGCC